CATCAGTATGTACCAGCATATGAAGTTTGATTACAGTAATTTCAATGATTTCATTAAAACTAAGCTAAACACTAATTTAAAGAAAAGTGAAGTCAAGGTCAAAGGAAAAGTCAAGGTCAAAAATTTTAATGCATTTGAATAGCCTACATCAGTATGCATCAACATATGAAGTTTGATTGCGCTATCTTTAATGTTATCTTTAAAACTGAGCTAAACACTAGTTTAAGAAAAGTGAAGTCAAGGTCAAAGGAAAGGTCAAGGTAAAAAAAATGTTGATGCAGTTGCATAGCGCTTATTAATATCTATCTGCATATGAATTTTGATAAAAATATCTTGGATAGTTTCTTTGAAACTTAGCTTTGAACTGAGCTAAAAGCAAAGCGCGCGACAGAAGGACAGACGGAAGGACAGACAGAAAGATGTGGGGACGTAAGACGGACATGACAAACACTATATGCATCGGCCATATACATGGTGGGGCATAAAAACTTTAATCTACACTATATGAGGATGTTTCCCTATCAAAATTACGAACAAGCAAATTCAAAGAATTGGGTCCCCTGCTTTCCGTGTCTTAATGGATGGGATGCCATTATTTATGGCATATTGTTTCAAAAATGCACGCCCTATCATATGTCATTCAAAAGTAATCACCAAAGTTAAAAATTTTGAAAATTAGGTAAAACATCAAGGTCAAGGGATAAAAAATCATGGCATGCTCAGAAACATCTTGTTACAGGTAATGTACATGTCAAATATGAAAGTCCTATCTCTTTTCAATCAAAAGTTATAAGGAAATAAGTTATAAGTTGTAAAGACATTTTTAAAAGTAGGTTAAACTTAAAGGTCAATGTCACAGAGTCAAAAGTCATGATATATTTAGAAAGATCTTGTCACAGGTAATATGCATGTATAATACGAATGCCCTATCTTTTCTCTTTCAAAATGATCAATTTAAAACAATGTTAATTTTTTTGAAAAGTAGGTCAAACTTCAAGGTCATGGTCATGGGTTCAAAGATCATAGTATATTTAGAAAGTTCTTGTAGGTTATGTACATGTGAAATATGAAAGTCCTATCTCTTATTATTCAGAAGTTATGACCAAGGTTGAATTTATTGTGACAGGCAGACAGACTGACAAACAGATAGACTGACAGACAAATGAGATTTAATGTCCCCTAGGTCCCTTTCGCGAAAACGGGGGACAATAATGCCCTGCTGTTCTTGTGAAGAAGATTTATGATGGAAAAAATCCCCTGCATTTTTCTATGTAAATCTTTGGATCCCCATATGTGGCCCCACCCTACCCCAGTGGGTCATAATTTGAAGTCTATGTAAAAGAAAGTTTCAACTTTTTGGGCCCAGTCAGTGGTTCTTGATAAGACTTTTTTAAATGAAACCACCAAATTTTCAGTAATTCTTGATTATCCCCCCTTGAATGAGGGTGTGATCCTTCATTTGAACAATCTTGAATCCCCTTTACCCGAAGATGCTTTGTGGCAAGGTTGGTTACAATTGGCCCAGTGGTTCTAGTGAAGAAGACAAAAATGTGAAAAGTTTACAGACGGACAGATGGATGACAGACAAAATGTGATCAGAAAACCAGAAAAACTCAAGTGAGCTAAAAACTTATGATCACAAATACTTGGAAAGAGTTACAGTATTTGAAAAGCTTTTTTTTTTTCATGCATTGTTTTAAGAAGCTGAAAATGTACGACTTGTATCCATGTTGAAAAAACTACACATTTAAGAAAATAGTATGATTAAAAATAGTTAATCAAGGTGCTTTAAGTAGCAAAATAAGCTAAACTGGTATAGCTAATTTAACCACAGAGCTTAGTCAATTTTAAGATGCACAACCTTTTCAACTCTTAATCATTCTTAAAATATATCATCATTTCTGATTCAAGGGAGAACTAGAGATATGACCAGAAGTATATCTGTTGACTAATAAACATGTATATGTATATTGTGTTTTTAAAGTCATTTGTTTGTTTGCTGTTAAATGTCCCTCTCGGGAATTTTTCACTCATATGGTGACATTACCACTTAAAAATAATGAAGACGTACAAGTCGGATTAGAGGTTAACATTCATTTTAGGAGTTTTCAACAATTAAGACGTAAAGAGATAACTCCTTCCCCTCGCCCCTTCCCCTTCCCAGACCCCTGTTTGTTCATGTATGCAAACTAATACTTTGTTTTGCCATAAAAAAAATGTGAATATATACAAATAGTTTAATGGTCTATCTCTCTTTAAATTATTTTCATTCCTAATTCTAGAAGGGTACATGGGTTGACCCAAATCCATGAATGAAATGTCAAGCAATCTTATCATTGATGCACTTTTATTTAATTTGATGTAGTCATATTGTGAACATTTCCAGTTCATTAATAGAGTGGGGATGACCTCCAGGAGTCCATAACCTTAAACCATTAGATTCTCCTGCCTTGGCAAGGAAGAGCCAGAGGAACCAGGCAAACTGCACCATGTGCAATCACTCGGCACACCTCGGCCGATTCGTACCTTATCTAACGTTCTAACGTTTGATGAAGGTGATGGAATCAGCCGAGGTTTGCCGAATGCATGTGCAATCTAAAAATGATAATGGTAAATCTAGTACTAGTAGGTTGACGCAAGCCTAATGTGATGTAGAAATTTTCAAAAAGGTGTTCACATACAGGTACAGTATAAGAACAAATTTTAAATTATCATAACAAACGATGTTTTTAACATAACTTTGCCATCTAGGCCTATTTCCAAAAACAGGAAAATTGGGGGGTGGGTGACAAAATTGATTGGGTATGGCTTTTAAGGGGGTTTTTGCCTAATTAAATACTAAAAAAAAAAGTTTGCACATTTTGATAAGTTATTTAAAAACGCTTTGTACTAAAATAATATTATTTGTTGTTGAGAAAATAAATTTAAAAAGTTCAATTATGGGCCAAAAATTTATATCCCCCCTTTTATCAAAACCTAATTTACATCATTAATTAAATTCTGTTATTTCAGACTGGTAATGAATTAAGTAAAGGAAATACCTATAAGAGGCTCATAGGTCACATGGTCACCTGAGCATTTTATGCTCGATTTTACGAATATATGTACTGTGTATATTATAGAATTATTTTTGCTTTTTCCTTAGTAGGCCCAATATGAAGGAGTGTGCATTTAGAGGCAAACACCTTAGTGCGGGTATTACTGTCTCATGACAGCATCTAGTTTTATTTGCGTGTGATTTAGTTTCAGGAATAGTATCGATAATAAAACTAACGCAACCAAACCACTGGGGGTATTTCGATCATTTGAAAACTTGGATGTTGATAAAACATTTAAATCAAATTAAAGGCTTATAAATGCTACCATTTCGTCCTTTCGATTTGGGTTGTAAAAGATTTTAATTTTTATTTTTTCTATTTATAATTTTTATTTTCATTTATTTATATTTTCTTTTAATTACTAACAAATTTAAGTTAAATTCTTTCACTGAGGCGATATTTTCAATTCGACAGGGATTGCTTTCTCCTCCTAGGCACCTGATCCCTCCTCTTGTGTTTCCAAGGGCCTGTCTTTGTGTCCTGTTCACACTCTTGTCTACTGTAATTATGAGATTGATCACTATTCGTTACCTTCACCTTTTACATTCCATTAACAACGTTTGTTTTGCAAAAATGCAAATCGCCTACATTCAAGCTAGAGAAACGACAATCACCATGACCAGCTGACCTTGACTAATATTCTTTATGCCAGAGAAGAACACATATTTTGTTACTTCCAAATGCTTTTATGAATTTTGAATGAATTTCACCTATTGCATGTCAACACATACCATATTCAGGTAACTTTACAAATGTCACTAACTATTACATAATAACATGCTGTTTATGGAATGTTTCACCTGTAATCAATCTGCGTTTCAAGGTCTGAGATTATATATATATATATATATATATATATATATATATATATATATATATATATATATATATATATATATATATATATATATATATATATAGATATAGATATAGATACATATATATAGATATAGATATAGATATATAGATATAGATATAGATATATATATATATATATATATATATATATAAATCCACACACGTAGTCGTATATCAAAAAAATCACAACACCGAAATAAACTCTACCTGGGGCGAGTGGGAGATTTTCACATAACAAGGATGTTTTATTAAATCAATATCTTTTTACAAAACTAAACAGTCACATTTCTGAAACATTATAGCGGTCCTCATCGAATAAATAATATATATTTTTGCTTTTTCTTTATTTTTCAGCAAATAATCATGCAAATAACCGAGAATAAGGAAGACGAATACCTTAACTTATTTACACCTCTTGCTTTGATCATATAAGTAAATGTATATATATTAAATTACAGGAAAAAGCTAAAATGTTAGATATTAGGGAAAGAAATTAAGACGGGTCAATATACATGTACTTGATGACACCGTTCAAAAAACGAATCTAGTTCTATGAATTCTGTAGAAACGGATTTTTGGGGTGTAAATTCTCATACATCTGAATGGCTAAAAAGCGTAAATTTAAGGAAATACAAAAATATTATAATGATGAATAATATTTTACACTTACAATGATATCTTTGAGGTAAACACAAGATATTACATTATGAAGGTATTTCGTCTTGTTACTATGAAAACAGGTTACAAATTCTAAAGTGTCACTATAAAGTCTTTAAAGTCACTCTAAATTGATATTTTGGGATATATTGCATTACATTGATAGATATTAATGAGAATTTATTTTTTTCCTCTAACAGTTCCTAAAACAGTTTCATGCGTACAGTGAAACTGAATCTTTAATAAATTATGCTGAAAAAAAAGAATGTTAATGAAAATTTTCGAAAACTTAGACGATAAAATAATATTGAAAAAAGGATGAGATGATGGAATAATAAAGTTGAAAAGTCTCAAAATGATGCAATAAATGATGCAATATTGAATTACCTGAAAGAGTGGACACCTATCACGTGCACATTTAATGGATTCTGGCAACTTATGTTGAAAAGTAAATACAAAAAGGAACTTTTATTGGTGTATGTGGAATATTCACATCCACGTCATCAGCCAATAATATTTACGTTTGTTATCATTGGGTAATAAGAGGACTTTAAACTCCTTCTTTTTTGATACAGTTAAGTATCGTCCAACACATACATGTAGCAACGTTGGGTTCTACATGGGCAGGCTATTAAGAAAAAAAATTCAGGTTAATCTTAACTTTGTATTCTAAAGAAATGAAGAAGATATCTCTGAACGACACCCATGCTGAGGAAGAAGAAGATATAATTAAAGTAAATCCATGGGAAGTTTCCACGCACTATGCCAAAGGCGTGCACTCGTGGACTACGATAAACACATCAGTAAGATCACATGTACAATCCGTCTGTAATTTTGCACTTTTTGTTATGTATGGTATTTTTAACGAATATGCTCCATTTATCTTTTCACGTTATAATTATCTAGAAACATTTTTGATGTTGTTTTACTTTAAATTTGTATAACATTTCATACCTACAACGATTTTTCTTACTTTATCTTTTCTAATGTAGGGAAGTTTGGAAGCTCTAAGATAGAAGATATAGAGGATAAAGAATTTGACTGGTACACCTGTCCATCCTCTTCTTAGAAGCGGGATTTTTTCTCTCAGACATTTGTTATTTCCTTCAAAACTCCGTATATCTACTAAATGCTTTGACGAGTTTTGCAATTACAGCCCAAAAGACTGTTTGACTGTTCTGCATTATAAAATACGGTTTATTCCTAAGTATTTATCCATTTATGGTCCATATAAATGTTTAAATATTAACAGCAAAAGAGGAAATAGCTGTTAATGCATCACTTGATATTGCGAGTTAGGTCACCAACTTAAACTTGAGACCGCTTGATAATTTAATAAAAGAGAATAGACCATGGATATAAATAAAAATGGTAATTTTAATGAAAGTATCTAATATGAACTTTAAAAAGACTAAACCTAAAGAATGAAATAAATTTCGGAAATAGTATAAACATTCAATAATTTATTTTGAAACGTCCAAAATGTACGGAACCCAGTTCTTTCAATTGGAGATAAAATGACATAAATATTATTAATTTAATTTTTCAGATGATTGGTCAAATATTTAGAAAATAGCCTTGAAACTTTGTCAGAATAAAAAAAAATACATGATGGAAGTTGAAATTTTATTGTATTATACAGTCATACGGTAAAAATGAAAATTGTCTTGTACAGGGTTCTTCACATGTGTTTAACCAGAACGTCCATGATTACATTTATCTGCGCCATGGTTAAACAAGCTGCACAATGTCAGAATCTGCGAAGGACATGATTAAATTTTTATTGTATATTCAGTACTTTCTAGTGACGTGAGTGATCAATTTTGTTTACACTACTCAGCTTGCCCATCCCTGTTGATAGAAAGATTGTACTAAATAAACACGGTCGTTGATAGGCGAATTCCGGTGAAGCGTGACAATCGAGAGTCAATCAGCTGAAGACCAATATAAGTAAATATCTCCACAGATTATTTATTTTTTCTGTATACTACATGTAGTTTTGGAAAATTCTAACGTGTTTGCTATGTAATAAAGATTTACCAAATATGAGGAAAAAAAATCACAAGTCAATTTCAGCAGGACTGTGCTACAAGATATAAGAACACCTTTAAAAAAATTGGAAATCACAAATTTTCCCAAAATCAATAGCATCCAAAAGTTTACATTTCATAAACCATTCCCAACAATAAAATAAAGACCAGGGTCTTTGGCATCATAGATAACTGCTTCTTCAATAAAAAAAAAAAAAATGGGACTCAAATTTTCATTGCTCATCTACACACTTAAAAAAATAGTTCTACACATTGGGGTTGATATTAAAAATCTTGCTGGAGTTCTTCCTTAAAATATATGTGTATTCGTCAATGACCAGACCCCAGGATCATGAAACAGACTTAGACTTAAGTCAAATTTTCAATCGCCTGTAAAATGTTGATTAATTGACGAATTAATCTCTAAAATTGCAGATAACAACACTTTTATAAAGCAATATTGAAAAATGTTTTAATTTAGGTCTGCTTGACTTGTACAGTATTTTAATACAGCATAAAGATTTTGACTTAAGTTTAAGATGTTTCATGATCCGGGGCCCGGGTCCTTAAACAAACAGATATTCCATAGAAAGTAACTTGATCCTGAATTACCAAACCTGTTTCTGTATTCTTATGAAGCAAAATCAATTTAGAAACTCGACGCATTGCCAAATATTTCATTTCCTCTAAGGACGAAACTGTGAAGTAGATGTTTCGTACCTGCAGTGTCTAACGTTCTTAATGGAAGACATAAAACTATAAAAAGACATTGCATCCTAGTTAATGGTCTTTTAAATTTCTACAAATATTTTATTTAATTATAAAATACATCTTTCGTTTTAAAAATATTACACGATCCGCCTCTCGCTGCATACAAACTGCGTAAAGTTTTACGAAAGGAGGTCACATCGACAAGTGCCTCGCGATCGGTAACTTATAATACCTTGCAATGTGGGATTTAACTAATTCACTACAAAAGAGCATATTATAGTAAGTTTTAATGCAGTTTAATTATCTTGTACAGTTTAAAATCTCAAATCATTTCATTTTGTTACATTTTAAAGAATTGTTAAATGCCCCACTAAAGCTAATTGAAAATCCTTGAGGATAAAAAAGGTACAGATCAGTAATCCAAGGGACTACATCATATTATCAGAAATACAAAAGTTTTATAAACAAGCTACGAGAACGATCAATTTTCAAACCGTGGCAGGCTACTGACAGATAGTTTGATGTTACAGGAATTTCAACAACCTCGTTTGAAGTAAGCATTTCGTAAATTCTATGTTCTTTATAATGACCTTGTTAGAAAATATAACCTATCATTGGGTCGTTTTTTGTTTCATAACAACTGTTAGCCTTTGTTTTTATACTTAATTTACTACGGAATGTTCCGTCTTCCTGATCAATACATATACGGGATGCTTACTCCTCCTAGGCACGTTATCCCACCACTCGAATTTCTAGGGGTCCGTGTTTTAAACCTTCTTTACAGATTTGTTTTGTTTATAGTTTGTTTTTTTTTTAAAATCGAATATTGTTCGTTATCTTTACCTTTTTTTCATTATGCTATTTTGCATACCAAGTATTTCTACTAAATATCGTACACATACATGGCACACAGGCTGACGACTGTAATTTCTATCTAATCCTGTTCAGTTCTTGATCAACCAAAGAATGTTGGAAAAACCTCGCCATGGAAAAGTATCTATATGAACTGTTTGAATGATATTTTGAAAATGTAATATATAAAATTTGACAGCTTTTCAGAAAACATTTTTAAAACCATCTATGACAGAAAAGGCTAGCAATTAAAATCTACGTTTTAGAAGATCGAGTATGAACAAGATTTTTCCATGGTATGATTTATAAATAGTAACTGATGCTTAATTTATTTATAATCAAACCATTAGGTCTTTTCATGAATACAAATTCCTTTGACAAGCCAAAACGGTCATTATCAAAAGCATTTCGGAAGCTTTAAGAAATAATATTGTTATTGAATTCTATTTTAACGACTACCTCTCTTTTTCATTCATGACCCTTTAAAAATGGTTTCACCAACCATGGAGAGCTTGAATTCTTTAAGCTTAAAGATTCATATTAGGCAAAGATACAATTTATTAATTAATTGTTATAAGTCTGGTCGCTGCCTACATTTTGTGCTTATTTAATATAGCCCTAAAATGTAGAGCAAAACATATTAAGTAACAAAATGTAACTGAATCTGCCACCCTTAAAAAGAGTTTTTTATTTAAAATAGTGACGAGTAAATGTGTCAATCTATGTAATCTCTCTTTCTCATTTCTAAGCAAAAGACAGGGTTACAACTTACATTCACAAAGCAATTTTATTTTCGGAAATTTTAAAGAAAAAACAAAGATTGATTGATTGATTGATTGATTGTATGTTGTTTTACTTCCCATTCGCGAATTTTTCACTCATATAGAGACGTCACCATATACCGGTGAAGGGCTTCAAATTTAGACCTATGCTCGACACTCAGGGCCATTGAGCAGTGAGGGATCTTTATCGTGCCAACGCCTGCCGTGACACGGGGCATCAGTTTTTAAGGTCTCATCCGAACGACCAGCAACTTTCACTTCAACGTGCCAAGCGCTTGGCGAAGGAACAGCTGCTACCTATTTTTTGATAACTTTAGTCATCCGAGATTTGAACTCACGACCTTCCGATCACTGAGCGAGCGCTCTACTGACTGAGCTACCGTGACGGTAAAACAAAGATATACAAATCTTGTTGACCTTGTGGATAAAATACTATATTATATACAATGAAAATTTCAGAAAAAAATAAATTTCAGACTTTCGATATCACATATCAAACTTTTCCTTATGAAGCCAACTGGATATGACACCAACTGGAGTCATTAGTTGTACTGAAATGTGGTATTAGACGAAATCGTATTTATGTACTTGAGATATGTTTTAACATGTTAACACACACAAGCTCTCTCCTCTCTCTCTCTCTCTCTCTCTCTCACACACACACACACACACACACACAAAATCCACAGTCTGTAAAAATACCAAAGCATGAAAAGTTTTGTATAGATTTTTTAATAAATAAAGAATTTAAAAAAAGGAGGGGGGTTCTGAAAGTGAAACATCTGACTCAGTGTATGCCACATTAAGTACAGAAAAACAAACATTACCCTTATAACTTTACGGAACTTCCTCAATGCTTAAAACTGTTGACATATGTCATAAATTTTCTTTGATTCTAAGTTTTTAACTAATGCACAAAGAATTTACAATAAAAAGATATTTTACAAACTTCTTTAGTTCTGAAATATCAATTAGCAATTTCAAATTTTAGAATATCAAAAAATCATAAGGGGTTTTAATAAGAATTATATGAAGTGCAAAAAGTGTAACTTAATTTTCATGA